CGAGGCTCTTAGCGGTTAGAGAAGTTGTTTTGACGGCCATATGCGTTGCTGGGGCCGCGAGAGGGCTTTCGGTATCGCATCTTTTCACTAGTCTACGCAGGGTGCGCGTGTCCATGGTAAGTGCATTGCTTGACGTCGCAGTAGCAGTCTTTGCGCCTGAAGGAGACGGGGAAGAAAGCTGGGAGGAATATATATATGGAGTACTATCGGGGAAGGCGAGGTAGATTATTCTTGATGAGTCGGTGTAAATGTATGGGGACTGACGGGGTTGTTGGTAGGGGGAGTCGATGACGAAGATGCGAACAAAGGTTAATGGAAGCGTCTTTGAGCGGTATATGTAGTAATGGGCCTTCACGAGAGGAGATATTTCGTGCTGGATGGATCTAAGAAAGGTCGAGGCGTGGAATCGAGGGAACGGGGTGGATGCATCTCCTCCCGACTGAAACTGGGCAGAATCGCCTTTGAGAGGTACCAATTGGAGAGCCGTCCACCGCAGTCCGACTGGATGGTCCTCAATGTAGCGCATGTCCACCATTGCAAGCTGACGAAGCGATATCCCATGCCTCCAATCTCCCTCGAGGATCCGATCAATCACCTCCCTCTTGCCACCCTTCCGGTCCCGGAGGTCCTCATATATGGCCCTCAACTCCTCCACTGATGCAGCGAGTGGGTAAGCAGTAAGGCCCTCCTCTTCCGCGACAAAATTGACCACACTGCGAGGGCCAAGGTACGGCGGAAAGGCCTTGACATCTTTGTCATCTAGCCATTGGATTACCAGGTCAAGCAGGGAGGATCGGGATAGCTTTCCCAAGGCTTTGACGAGCGAAAAGGTGGTTGAGGGGATGCGGAAGGAATCTGGGAGACTCGCAGCAGTTGGGGCGCGGACGGCCACGCGACGAGTCATTTGGCGTTACCTCTAGCTATATAGCCATTGGGATTCAAGAATCGGGCGTGCCAGTCAGGGAAATATCAGCTAGAGAGGGTGTGAGTTTGTTATTATGTTGTAATGCACGGCAATGTTCTCTATCCTGACGCGATCACGGGCGTTGTTTGTTTTCGAAGGGTGTATTATTGGCTGACTTCCTGACCCTTTGCCAAGCCTAAGAACATCAGTTAACGCAGTAACCGTGCCAAGCGCATCTCACTACCTCCCATTAGTGAGTGCGCCACACCGTAAAGGTAAGAACACCGCAATGGTAATAATTTGAAATAGGTATCTTTTAAAAGATACCTATTTTCATTTTTAAGAAAATCATGAATATCTTCAACAATATAATAAGTAG